ATGCATAATGATATTAAGTGTAAAGGTTTAAAACAATGATGGTTGTATATTTATGATTATTAAAAGAATATCATCAAATTAATTTTAATTTCCTTCTTCATTGCAGAAAAAGCTTAACTTTCTATGACATTTAAACCAATGATGGTTGTACATTGATTATCATTAAACAAATATCATCAGAATAAGGTTTAATTTCCTTCTCTAATACACAACCAGCTTAGCTTTCAATCATCTTTAAAACGATGATACTAGTACATTGGTGATTAACAGTACTAAAAGAATATCATCGGCTAAAGATACATGTAGCAACTTCTATAAATTTGTGACTGATTCATATGAGGCCCACTGTACCTGTTTATGTCGGAGCTCCATCTTAGGCCTTGGGTCTTTTTTCTTTTTGCTGCCATCAAATCCTAAGTCATTCAAGATCTCTTTTTCGACAACATTCTTGTCCAACATGTCCCTTAGTATATGCTGAACTGATATCTCATCATTAAGGTCTTCATCATATTCTGCACCTACAAGCAATATGAACATGACAACTGAAGTCTGCAACCTGAAAAAATTCATTATTTTCCAGCAACAGTAATTTTTATTAATACATGTGTATTCACTTTAATACCATTAATAATGTAAATGAAAAAATTGGGCACTTCTAGATGAGCTGAAAACAAGTGCATTCTTGTCTAACAACTGTGCAAGAGAACAAAGTCGTAACAAGAGTGCATGGTTATAATACTAGGGTAAATTACAAATAGGGTGCACACGCTTTCAAAATCTTGTCTGTCTTGACTTTCTGTGATGCTTTTTTTTTTCATGTAAATTATTAACAAGTAAAAACATGATCTTTCATGCAATTTGGTGTCATAACGGCTTGTAAATTTTTCAAAAACTACAAACTGCACTTGCCTTACAAGCTTATAAACACCAAACTTCCCTCCAAATCATGTTATCACCTAAGTATACACATTTTTTCATGAAGTATATATCTTACCCATAGCATTAGGAACCTGGTTGCTATGATAACTGTTCAGTGTTGACCAGTCATGTGACTGTAAGAACTGGTCAGGCATATCCCTATAATCACTGTAATCATCATCAGTAATGGATTTTCTTGTGACTTGTTCCAAGGGTTTGCCTTTCTGTGCCCACTTTTCATGCTTAAATTGCACTTCTAAATTAAATTGATCATCTTGATGTTTCTTTTCATGAAGCCAGGAATCCAATAAATCTTGTGCTGTAAGCAATGGGGGAAATAAATAAACCCACTTTGAGTAACAGTTCTATGATGTAATGTTATGAAATTATTTTTATCCACAACAATTTTATTTCTCAACAAATTCTTACCTTAAACGTATAGAAACACAGAGCAATGAAAAGAAAAAACAATTGCACTAAGGTAGTGCACACTGCTATTCATATTACGATGACTGAGCTCTAGGGGATACTCAAGGATACTTCTTCTGGCCAGCTGAGATATTTCAGGAAAAAAAAATTTAAAATACTGTTTCTCTTACCTTCCACCAATGCATCATCGTCAACATGGACTTGTTCTAGAACACTTTGATAATTGTTTCCAAAAACCTCTCTGGCAGCTTGAGTTGATTCTCTCTGTACTCTCTAGAGTATCAGTAAGGGATTTTTGTA